TTTGTAATAACTTTAATAGAAAAAAAAATCTAAATAGAAATTTTCTCAAATACAAATTACGGAGTATATTATAACTTTCCTGAATAGGTATTCATGTACTCCTATTTAAGGAAGGTTTTATGGTTAAAGTTATTTTAATAGGACTAAATAGCTTCTATTTTTCAAAAAAAAAAACACTGCACGTTTGATTCTATTTTACAACTTTGTCTAAATATTGATCATATTTTGAGCAATTACTACAAGTTTGAATACCTAACGTCATCTCCACATATCCAAAATAACTGATTTTTTTAAAACCACGTGATTTTCCAAATCTTCACATCGATGTATGTTGAATGAGCTAATGGCGTTTCTCGAATTTCATTATCAACCACATAATTCTATTTTTCTTAAATATTGCATTACTCTCATTTGTCTCAATCTTAAGGGGACGAGGTAGTATGATTTTTGTTTGGTAAACTTCCGACTCATAATAAATTGATCCGAATCGAAACTAATAAAAATGAACCAAAAACCGATATACTCATACCTAGGGATGGACCATGCCTGAGCCGGTCGTGGGTGGTATTGGATTTTTGGGCTTATGGCCCGGTACTGGCTTGGGATTCTACCGGGACTAGGTCGGTCCGGGTCGGGTCGAGTCAATTATTTTTTTTAATTAGGCTTTTCTAATTTATTCCTACCCCGGCCCACCCCCAAGCCCCGCCAAAACACCCAGCTTAACCCACCTGGCAGCGGCCCAATGCCAAAAAAATGGCCCGGATCGGTCACCCATTTCCCTGTCCCGTAGCCCGCCCTTCCTTACCCCCGTTTCAGGCCCCATGGACCAGTCCCTGTCTCAGTCGGTGGTCCGGTGAGTACTGCACGGTTGCGGGTCAGGCCCCGGGCCTGTCCGGTCGGTCCCGCCGATCCCTACCCATACCTAGGGGTGGGAAAATATACCGAAATTTCGGTATACCGGCTATACTGTACCGAAAAATACCGAATTTACCGAACTTTTCGGCATACCGAAAAATTCAGTACAGTATGATACCATATCGGGTCACTCCGGTACGGTAACGGTATGCAGTTTTTAAATTTTCGGTTTTTCGGTATATACCGAAATACCGTTAATTTTCGGTAAGGTACGGTATATAAGGCTGTGCATTAACCGGGTCGGACCGTATTTTAGACCTGAACCGGACCGGAATGACCCGGTCCGGACCGGACCGGTATTAACCGGTCCGGACCGGACCGGTATTAACCGGTCCGGGTTTCGGTCCTTAGTTTTTCAAGATTCCGGGTTTCCGGTCCGGTCCGGGTCAAACCCGGAAAAAACAGGTCCGGACCGGAATAGACCGGTAACCTATTGTTCCATAAAATATATACTTCGTTTTGAATCATTAGTCAACTTATATTTGGCTTACTACTATGTTTATGGCTTATTTTTGCCTTTTGTTATATACACGAATATATACAGAGTGTGTATTTGGTGTCTAATTATTTCCTAAGTTGTTTATAATTTTTTTTATGTAGCAGGTCCTAAGTTTTTTATTGATCGTAGTTTATATTTGTTTGATTTTTCCAAATCGCTTTTTATTTGTTTCTTTATTTGCAGGTGTGTATGTAGTTTATATGTAGTATATTTTTGGACGTAATTTAGTTTTTATTACCCCACAATAAATTTTGCCAATTTAGTACACAAAAGATTGTAGTTTTAATTATTGTGGGATACTAATTGTTACAATTGAATAGTTTTGATGACTATATTTCAAAATTAATAAATGAGCTAAACAATTATTTAGTCTATTTAGCATATCTGCATATAAAATTATAGTTTGAAACAACAACAACATCCAAGTCTTATTCCTAAAAAATTTGGGGTCAGCTAAGAACACTCTAAGATAATACTCCATATGTCTTTTTTTAAAACCGGGTCAATTAGGGTCAAACCCGGACCGGACCGGAAAATTCAGGTCCGGACCGGTCCGGACCGGTTAGATTCAGGTCCGGTCTTCGGTCCATAGAAAATGATGATTCCGGTTCCGGTCCTAACCGGTTCCGGTCCGGTCCGGTCCGGTTTTGGACGGGTGCACACCCCTAACGGTATATACCTAAATACCGAATTAGATTTTGTAAATTATGAGGCTCAACATACTGTGTCCATACTCCATAGCCATAGGCCATACCTACTTGCTACTTGTAGCGATTTTAGTCGGGATCCCATTTTAGTTTATTTGGGTTTGGCATATATTGATTGAAACGCGAAACGCAAACATGCCCAAAGTATAAACCGAGTTATATGGATTTAGCGCATCGCCGCGATAGATTTTGCGGTGCTCGAAGACAGTCGCCGTTGCAGCTTTGCCTCGACAGAGCCTCCGGCGAGCGATGGGAATAATCAGGGGAAATTTCGTCTTCATATCTGGAACAGTGTGCGGAATATACATCGCTCAGAACTACAATGTTCCAAACATTCGGAAAACTATTGAGGCCGTTTTGGTTCAGGCTAAAGTCGTCGAAGAGAAGTACCGGAAGCCCCCAAAACCTAGCGATTAGCCTAAGGTTTTCTAAAACCAGGTTTATATACTATGATTTTTACATACTCAAATGTGTATTTGGAATTTGCAATTAACTTGATATATTTCTGTGAAGATCTTGAAGTTTCATAAATTTTAATGTTTATCCTTGTTCGACATATTAATTAATCTTTGTTATTGACGTTTTTTATGCCAATTGCTGCAATTAAGTTCCAAGCTTTGGCTGCCTAATTTGACATACTGCTGTTCTGAATTAGTGAATTTGGGCAATTGAGTCTGTCTTTTTTTCATTTCCAACAGGAAGGGAGAGATATAGTTTCCATGGAATGATGGTTACAATTAGTAGAGTGACAATATTGTGAAGCTAAACGCGTAGCTTGATGTTTCTTTTAACTATAAGAAAAAATTGCATATTTTCACTTATGAGTTATGGCCCGTTTGGATGGTGGGGTTTTAAGAGAAAGGCCTCTGGAGGACTTAAGAATGTGTTTGGATGGAGTGTTTGAAGGTGTTATAAGTGGAAATATTGAAGGGTGTTGGTCTGCACACTTGTTTGGCAGAGAAATTTAAAAAAATTGGAGTGCTAACAAGTGTTTAAAATTGTTGGGGGAAACCCCCCTAACACCTCAATAGGTGAGTTTTTAACCCTCCAAATGTTGGACAAGTGTTGAAGAGAAGGGTTTTTAACAGTGTTTTATATCTTGATAAATAGTTGAAGAACTGAATAAAAGATTTAAAATACCATACTATCATATACTACGTATTATCTTTCAATTTCTTTTACAATCTCAAATGTCTATCTCATATACTTTTGGAGAACAAGACCTTGGTTCAGATATTTTGGATGGAGTTAGGAAGTGATAGAAATACCACAAATATAGTTTCTTAAGAAGAAGAGCCATTAAAGTAGTGGAGTAGGTCAAAATGCTTATGCCAGTGGAAAGAAAGAAAGAAATTATATTGTGGACAAAAGGAAAGTTCTGCGAAATTGTAGAGTTGTTGCCCTCTTATCACAATGCAAATTTTATGAAAGTGACAAAGAAGTCCCAACCCGAAAAGAAATGGAAGGCACAGTAAGTTGTCACCCTCTCATCAATAAAATATTGGCTCTTGTTTTAATTATTAAAAAACTCTATTTGTGGCATTTCTATCACTTCCTAACTCCATCCAAAAATTCTGAACCAAGGTCTTGCTGTGCAATGTAATAGTATATGAGATAAATATTTGAGATTGTATATAACAAATTGAAAGATTAATATATGATGGTATGATATTTCAATCTTTTATTCAGTCTTAAACTATTTATCAAGATACTCCCTATAGAACAAGCTGTTCAAAATCCTTCTCTTCAAACCCATCTATCCAAACGGACCCTAAGTATTCCAGATTTATGGTCCCACCTAACACTATTCCCAATTTCGTAGAAAAATTAATGACCACTCTGGATTATAATACTTTGGAGACAAAATTCCATATAAATCTGTGATAAACAAAGCATGTTCAATAAGATGATGATAAATAAATAGCAAGGAAGTTGCACTGGAAGATTTTTGTAGTTTACTTATTTTTCATTTCAATATAATATTTGCAAATGTTATTATGACTTAAAAGAACCTTAGCATATAACTTAATGTTTTATCATTTTGATGTATTTGCTTGATTTGATGATACCGGAGATCGACAGGTATGCCATAACAGAGCTATCTGCAATCGATTCACTCAAGAAACAAGATGATGTATTAAACATTTATTATCACTAGCTACAAACAATGAATATTCCAGTATTGACAGCAATATTACTCGACACAATAAAATGTACAATCACGGGTTCATTTACAATTAACAGCAATTCTAAGTTAGTCTGAAATTCACTGAGAATAGTTTTGACAATTCAAGCATCTTGTTGCAAACTAGTATGCATTCATATCAATGATTTACCTCTTTCATCTTCTCATTCCCTTCAGGGCAACACTTGAACAATACTTAGTAATGTCTTGATATCAAATCTTAAATCTTCATTTACACTACACTATCTGCTGCTATACATTGAGACAAGCTTAGGGTCGGTTTGGAAAAATTTAGTGGCCCGTATACTTGCTTTTTCTGAAAGAATAGTGTAATAAGCTGATTACAGCTACCAAACGTATTCTTACACATTATTGACACAAGTGTGTAACCTTGACTCGTTATGACTAGTGGAATTTCGAATCTTATCAGCAACCTCGGACACAACCAACCTAGTTAGTAACAACCCTGCAACTAGAGCAGACCCCATCAACATTGTGAAGACGCCATTCCAGCTCTTAGCAGAAATGTAGCCCGTTAACAGAGGCCCAATTGCCGCACCAATAGAGCCCGTTCCATCTATAATGGCGGTAACCGTTGCAAGTGCTCTTGAGTTTCCTCTCAACGAGCTGTGTGTTCCCAAGTCAGCTGAAACTGCGGTTGTTATCAACGCATAAGGTCCATTCACAAACATGCCAGTGATCAACATCAGAAGAATGTTCATGGACATGGAGACATCACCAAAGTTTCTGTACAAGAAGAGAGCTGGGATGGAACAGTATATGAAGGTTGCAGCTGTAATGGCTCTGGCATTGAGGTGATCAGAAATGTAGCCGGCTAGGATCCCACCAACCACCCCTCCGACATCAAATAAGGTCGACAAGTTTCCCGATTCCTCGTTAGATAAGTACCTCCCGTCGATAGCTGCAACGTCACAAGTGATTTTGATGATTTAATTAATAGAACAAAGCATATTTCTTAAATTTGAAGGGATAGCTAAGTATTTAGTCTAATAACTTGATGGGTTGCATCATAACCCAAGTAATAATTTTGTTCCAGTAATTCGGGATAATGAGTAATTTAAGAACCTTGTTCACTGGATTCCACTTGATCCAATTTTTTGTGATTTTCTCTCATGTGACCTCACACATGATATTGAAGGGATGAAAAAGAATTTTTTGAAGATCTAAAACAAAAAATTGTCATATTGGTAAGGGCCGGGTCAAAAATAAGATTAAATCTAGCTCTTTAAAATGAATTAAATGAAGACGTGTGAGGTGAAAAAGGTCCTCAAATTTCACTTTTTAGTTAAAGTTACTCGACCAAAATTGCCAACCGAGCAGAAATGTCACTGCCCTAAGTTATGGGATTGATTTTGCAATTTTCCAATCATCATCATCATTACCCCAGTGCCGTAAAGGCTCCCACCTACGGTGGGGTAAAGGGGGTCTGTTGCACGCAGTCTTACCCGTGTACTAAAGCACAAAGAGACTGTTTCGGATAACTCATAGTGAAAATCGCGTTCAAAATTGCATGGACTGACCGACTGACTACAGCTTCATAACAAAACAAAGAAGTGCAAAGAGTTTAGTGAGTCATTTTGCTTTATTTCATCATATTTTCAAGCCAAAAATTAGTGAGTCTTTGGTTCCATTACAAATTTTCCGATCTAAAACATAATGGTTAAAATTCAACGCCTAATTTTTTAAGTAGAAAGGACACTAGACTGTCCTTTAAGTACCTAATATTTTTTCCATATTTAGGTCCTGAATAACCTGATTGGTTTTGCTTATAGCTTATAAGTACCTATAAATTATAGCATTGGTAATAAATGTTAAACATACCTGTGTGGCTAATATAGAAAGGAAGCCAATAGAGGAAAGTATAGGCCACCAATTTTGCAAAGAAGAGGCAAAGGGCAAAAGGTGCAACCCCTGGGATCTTCCAAGCTTCAACAAAACCCACAGCCGATTTGTTCTCCACTTCATCTGATCTCAGAAGAGGTTGTAGTGTTACTTTCATCTCTTCCTTTTCAAGGGAGTGGATATTGTCTTCATCTTCACTAGCCCCAACCGATTCGGGGTCCACGGGCAATAACAGAAACACAAGTAAGCCAGTGAAGGTGATAGATATCCCAGGAATAACCAATGACCAACCCCACCCGAACTTCAACAAAACGGATGCAATCAATGACCCAGTTATGTTCCCGATTGACGTGTGAGCATTCCAAATCCCCATTATAAGCCCTCTCTTCTTCTTCCCAAACCAATTTCCAACAACGGCAACCACCGAAGGCCAGCCCGTGGATTGGAACAACCCGGCCAGCATTTGGACGGTCAAATAGTAATAGAAGTTATGGATATTCGCCCAATACCCAAAGCCGAAAAGTCCAGTGAACAGACCAGTTCCGACCATTCCTGTTGTTAAGAATATCCTAAGGTTCATCCTATCACCTACGTGCCCTGAGAAATACATCCCTAGTGCATATACAAAGAGGAATGCCACATCAAGTTCCCCTAGCAATTCCGTTCCATCTTTACTGTTAAAAGGAAACCAACCATTCCCAAGCGCCCATCTTAGCCGTGGGGATTTCATGCCTAAATCGGATGATTTAGGATCAAGAGCGCTTTTGACAATGCTGGTAGTTTTTCTAGTAGCATGGTACGCCGCGTATGCCAGAAACGTTACTATTAGAACAATGGCTTGATATGTTTGGTATGAGATGGGCGACTTCTTTAGGCACTTAAACAACTGTATTCCTAGTGGTGTCTTGAATTTTCTCTCTGCCGGAACAGACCCCATTATAGGATATAAATTTTGAAAAAAGTTGCTCTCCTATGAATCCAAGAATGATAAAATCCTGAAACAAGTTGCAAACAGAATGATTATTCCTGTTAGATTAATCCTTTAAGATGAATCCGGTATTTAATACTCCGTAATGCATACAATTTTTTAATATCTTATTTCATATTCCCGACAAACATAGTCATTTAATGAGATGAGGAGTATAATTTATGCATTTACATTGTCCTTTTAAATGAAATTTTTAGTCTTAGAACACAAATTACCCCTGATTCCCTGAAGTTAGAACTCTTCTAAAACCCCAGTAACTTGTACTCTAGGAATGAACTAGGAACTTAATAAAAGAAAAGTAATCTCATTACAAGATGTGCCAACTCTTAGATTCAAATGGGTTGATACTTGATACCATATTACTAATTCAGTAAGTCTACTCTTTTTATAACATCAACCATTTAAATGATATCAACAAAATCAGAGTTCATTTCATATCAACTTTCAAGCACTTTTAAAACGGGCAAGAACTTTATTAATTTCCATCTCGCTTAATTTTAAACATTAATAATATTAATAGTGCGTAATTAATTCATAAGGGGTACAATTTAACCGATCAAATTAAGTGCATGAAAATTATTAAACGTGAAACCGATAAAATAAGTCGAAAAAATTAACCCACAACACAACAAAATCAATCTCACTCCATGTCGGTTCATTGATAGATTAAATAGTTTAATTAAGTACAAACAACAGAGTATGCACTAAAAACCAATTAAATTACTCCGTATTAGTTAACCATCACAAGTCACAACTAGTGAGATGGACAACATTTTTTGCAAATACTAGTATTTGCTATATTTTGGTGAAAACACGCTGTTCTAATTTAAAAAAAAATGGTACTAGTATTAGAAAAAATGCTATTTTATGTAATACTCCTGACTATGATTCCTTAGAAAAGTTCATGAATAGATTCATGATTTTTTATTCTTGAGGTATGACTCGTTAAGAAAATTTATATTTTTAATAAAACTAAAAAGTCATATTTTGATAATAAAAAAATAGCTATTTTCATGTGCCCATATGGACTTTATGGAGCAATTTCGTTTGATTGTGTATCCAAAAGTAGGCCAAGTTTTCAGCTCCTTTTTGGAGACCGAGGCAATGCATTTTACTCGATCCATCTTAAAAAATTTCATATTGATTTTTCTTAATCAATGATGCTCATGTTTGGGATTAAGGCTTGGATGTTGTTGTAACGATGCTCAAATTTGACTAATAATATCTTTTAATACAATACTAGTATTATTTAAAATAGTATTATTTAAAATATGAAAAATATATGAGCATATTCTTTATTAAAAAATCTTTCATCAAATTATATTATTTATAAATCTCACCCAAACATAATACTTAAAATCATTTTCTAAACTTTAACATTACCGAAAAGTTAAAGTGGTCCGGTCCATCCTTTTGAGATGAGGGGAGTTATTGCAGCATTATATAACTCAGGTAATTCACATTTCCAAATTATGTACTCTGTAAGTTTAAAGAGGTAATAGTAATTAGTACGGAGTATGTAAGAAAAAGAAAGTTACTCCCACCCAAGAAAATAACTCCTACCGACAAGTCGACAACCTTAGCTATCGGGCATTTGGGTTCAGCCAAAAAAGCATGAATCTGCTAAACAAATTAAAATTTCATTTTTGAAGTGAATTAAAATGATAACGAAAATCAAACCTTATCCCCAGGCCAGAATCTGATAAACCATTTAACCAGAACAAATATTTCCTGCAGAAAACATCCCGATCACAAAACATGATTTTTAATGCCGAATCCCAATCAAAGAACAACTAGAATACCTCAATTTTGAAGTGGAAATTGATGAGGAAGAGAAGAATGAATGAATGAGATAAGAAGCAGCAAACCTTATTTTAGTGCCGTATTCTCCCACTGCTACGTTTGAATGTTTGATCCTATTCTCACACTATATATTACGAGTAATATTGTTATTATTATCATACACTCCGTATATGTATGTATTATATTATTTATGTATACAGTATAGTGTATAAACTAGAGAAGAGGCCTCAGACTTTGAGAAGCTTTTTTCTTCCAGGAAGACGAGAGCGAACATCCTGGGTAGTGGATATGGAGGTCTCATATAAAGCGAACCTTTAATGAATATGGACGGTTTGTATTTCCGCAAATACCCTCAATTTCTTTCGCGATTATCATAAGGACCTTGACTTTTTATGTGCCGGTAAGGCTGACATTGACATTTACACCCCTACCGTATTACTTTTACTCCCCTATTTGAGCAACTTGTACTTAAACCCCAAGGGCTCCACCTCAACAAGGAATTCGGGAATGGTAAGTCGCGGTGATTTAATCGGTATATGTTGTATTCGTGCGTACGAGAGGTTTAGTTCATCATACATTCATACGTGAGTTGTAACTTTCACACGACTGTTGCGGGATTCGATTATTGATTAATGCTTCAACTTTCCCACCACTCCACTAACTCAGCTACCTGTGCGAGTAAAACAATCGTCACCGAAAGATTCAAATTGAGCAACTTGTACTCCACTAACTATCTACAAAAGATCTTTTTAATTGGATTATTTTCAGTCTTAGATCATATCGACCAAACAAAATCAAATCAAATAAGACCAGACATAGACAGTTATAAAATATACATAGATTACACAATTACTAGACCAGACTTGGCCAACCAGTTCAGACCTGTCCTATTCAGGCCAGATCAGACCATAAAATTCCGGTGTAATTTAAAATATCTGAAGTATGTATATTTTTATAATTTTTTTGTTATTTTTATTATTGTTATTATCCATACTGTTTTTTTATGACTATTATAACTATTACTAAAATTATTATGTGTTTTTTTCCAAAAATATTACTCAAATAAAATTTATTTATAAAAATATGTACTCCGTAATAGTTATAATAGTAAGTCTTATAGTCAGTTAAATATAATTATTCAACATAAATTATTATAAATAAGTTTTATTATAGTAGCTACACTTAAAAGGTCATATTTTTGTATACAACGTTTAATTAAGTTATATATGTGGTATATAATCATTTCAATTATTATTACTACTAGTTTTAGGATTATTATTACGAAATTAACCTAAATAATACCTACTATCAGTCTGTTTCCTATAAACCAAAATCAATATTCAATAATATTAACTATGGAGTATTTGACTATATAATGAAGTGATGAATAGTTATCTTTCACTAGTCCCCACGCCGTCTAGACGCTAAGTGATGGCCACACAGCCAACTAGATCTCTGTTAGTTTATTCGTGTATAATTCGCGTATAATACACTCGAACGTATAATTCACGTATAATACTTCCGTTTATGAAATTTTCAAAATTTTTTGAAAAATTCACGTACTTTAAGAATAAAGTGTATAATACACGTACCGTATGTATTGATACGTATTTTATTACGTATATTACTCCTGTTTATGAATTTTCCAGAAAATTATGAAAAACTCACGTATTTTAAGGATAAAATGTATAATACACGTACTGTACGTATTGATACGTATTTTATTAAAAAAAACACCATTAAACGGAAGCCTAATGGAGTGATACAACTGAAACAAAATGCATGTCAAGCTACTCAATATTATTTATATTGCTTAAAAAAACGTTATGCCTTACATGTTCGCTAATTGTTTAGCGGTCATTACATTTAATGAATTAGCTTCTTAAATTCGTAATCTGTTTCGATATTTCTATTGTACTACTACTGTATTACTTTTGTTCTCCACCCATATACCAAAACTCCGAAGAGATCGAAAAATGTTGTGGCGGCTCACTAAACTCATGGTCAAAGTAATATCAACTATTTTCTAGTAATATCTCTCCACTTCTACTTAAATAGGCAATGTCATTTTTATTACGTATTGTACCTATGCATTTAAATACGTAAATCTGAAAAAAAAACTATTCCGTACATTTTAAATTGTTGAAGATTGTGGTGCAAATGTTAAATAACTCTTTATTTCTATCATTAAATAAGTACGTAGTATATAAGACACATATTATATGCTGTATTTTTAAATTGTGAAACGTTTAAAACGCGTCCGTATCTTTATATATTTCACGAACGTAGGAAATATATATTAAGCCGTATTTTATATAATTGTATCGTATTATACACGAACGTATGTATTATTGTATTATTCACGTACCGTATATTACTAACAAAGAACTAGATGTCTTGAACTGTTGGTTTGGCACCTAACTAAATTAATTGGCCGCTTATGGCACCTAGTTGCCTGAAGCTAGAGCGCCTAAAGCGGTCTAGTGCATCTAGATTCACCAAACGTTTTTTCTATGTTCTAATAAGCAAGTATGGATAAAGATCAATTATGTTTTATCTATTCTTATCAGCAAAATAGTTATGTCTATTAGACTTTACACGAAAAAATAAAACATTATAATTTCACACATGTAGTCTAATGTGTTACATTTTTTAGCTAAAATTTATATCTTCCAATTTTATAATTAGAATAAACATTAAAAATAAATAATTGTAAGTCATCTATGATTTTTTGTTTTGCTTTGTCAATTAAGCTAGTGTATTTATATAATATGTCACGCCCCGGACCTACCGGACACGTCAACAACCCGCCGTATAGTACGAACAGTCAACCGCAGTCCAACTCATCCATACTATACAAGGCGTCTTGAATACCATTCACAATAGTACATCCATAAACAATCATAATGCAAAATATTTAATCAAGCAGCGGAAACATTAATTCAAATATCCAAGCCACACGTGGCAAACACGGGCGTACAAGCCCAAATAAATATTCAAATAGTATCCATGAGCATTATTTAAAAATGTTTTCAAAACAGGAACGGAAGAAGCACGAACCACGTCTCCTTCCTTGAACCTCCCCAAAGCAACGGCGGCGGTAGCAACCTTCAAGTCCTACCTGAAACTGTGAGGTGGCCTCCCCCGTGAAGGGGAGGTCAGTACTTGGAAGCATTTGACAAGTACAATGACAACTATACTAAGTATAATCAAAGTTTCAATTTCCAAGACCCTCAAATAGGGTGATAATATATTATAGGTCATAACCCGTGGTTACCCTCTTTGAAAATATACTTACTTTATATATAAAGTCAAGTAGTCGGCCCGAAGGCCCATGTTTTCTTTGAAAACGTTCAACCCTTTCCCCGTGACTTCAAGTCACGCCCATCTATATTTATTTACCATGCTAGAGGCTTCCTCTAGTCATGTTTCACCGTGCTAGAGGCTTACTCTAGTCACTACATTCGGTGTTAGAGGCTTCCTCTAATCACCTTACATACTTTGTGCTGGAGGCTTCCTCCAGTCACATTACATTATGCTAGAGGCTTCCTCTAGTCATCCTACACGAATGTTGGAGGCTTCCTCCAGTCATTCTTCATCGTGCTAGAGGCTTCCTCTAGTCACGATACTAACTCACTAGCAAATTCTATGCCTAGAGTTCCTCAATCTTGAGTAGCCGATGAGGCCTACTCCTAATGTAACTTAGCGGTTACCCATTTCTACCTTAAGACATCTCATAAGACTACTTAAGGTACTTCTTTCACAATCCAAGCCCTTAGGATTTGTTCTATCACTTTTCATACTAACATTTCCGACTAGTAAATTCAATACTAATCCATTAATCTTTAAGCCACCAAGCTCTTTAATTCATAGTTATAAGGTTCATTCCTATGAATTTCCCAATCCGTATATGATTTAATCTCAATGTCAAAAATATCACTTTTATCCATTCATGACTTCTATACATGAAGCAAAAGTATATTTTATCACAAAAATTCATGGTTTATACAATCATTATACCTTCACATTTATCATGCATCATCATACACAATTTCTCATAAATTTGTATGTTATGCATCTTCTATTCACAAACAATGATATTTTCATTTAGGCATTATTAATCATTAATAATCCATGAAAATCACATTTAATTACTTTAGGTAATCTTATGAAATTAACCCAAAGATTATAAGCAATATAGTCAGCCATCCTCACCTTGTGATGTGCTACAATAGTTGCCTTTGTTAAGTCCCTCGATCAATCCCCGTTCTAGGCCGATTGAAAGTGAAATTTCTGGACAGCAGCCAAAAGCCGGGCGGCTTTCACAAAAGCCGGGCGGCTTTCGTAGTCTGCAACTACGAACAGCTTCCTTGAAGTGGCGGTTTCCGGTGGTTTCAACTCCTATCGATTCCACGACTCTTCTAAGTTAAATACCACTACTTTATAACAATATTCTACACTTTTAAACGTGTAGAACTTCATGTTTTATCCACCATATGATTTACTAAAAAATCATACAACAATAATACTAGTTAAAAGTGTTTGTTGAGTTCTTACCTCCAACACACCTCCTTTCCTCTTGGGTTTTCTTCCTCCAACAATGGAGTTTGTGAGAGCTTTTTCCCTGAGCTTCTTACCCTTTGTTTGGCCGAGAGAGTGCAAGGGAGATGAGGGAAGATGCCTTCTCAATCAACACAAAATGATTGTGTGAGAGACATAGGCATGGGCTTTTGTCTCAAAGGAGACTTCTCCCTTCAATCATCCGCACAAACCCAAAATGTGTGGTCCCCCTCCCTTATTATTTGAGTCTAATTAGTGTGTAGGATACCCCAAGTGGGTGTAGGAAGTCCCTCCCAATTATTCCTGCTATTTTGGGCAGGTTGGGCCAACATAGCACTCGGGTTGTCCAAATATTTTTATCAACTTTAGTTGGCACATTATTGGACTTCTATAATTATTACGATGACCCAACTAAACATTTGGTAGACCATTCCCATATAATGGACCCGATAAATAATTTAATTAATCTCACATTAATTAAATATTCCAATCAATTACACGAATTTTTATTCGTTAGGAAATTCAAATACATAACATCTTTAAATTCCAAGTACATTCGGGTGCGGTGTCACAAGTTCACCCCCCCTTAACGGGAATTTCGTCCCCGAAATTCACAAATGCTTATTCAAACAGAAATGCATATTGCTCCTTCATTAAGGCTTCCGTTTCCCAAGTTTCTTCTTCAACTCGGTCACTTTTCCATAGGATTTTA